CTCCTCCTCTTCTTCATCACCTTCTTTCTTCTGCTCTGAGCTCTGTTGCTCTGATGACTTTATCTGTAGAAGGAAGGATAAACTCTTTAGATTTAAGGACTTCTGCTGGTTTGGACACTTTGTTATTTCACTACCTCTGGTTTGCTTCCTGGAGCCTGATCGCTGCTGCTGATTGAAGCAGGTAAAGCAGGCGTGGGGGTGTGCTCCACTTTGGTCTCGGTCTGGTTGCGTGCAGCACTGAGAAGCTCACCCAGCGGGTCCTCCTTCTTCTTCTCCACCTTCTGCTCAGAGACATCCCACCTGGACTTCTTCCCGGATTCTGGAGGTTTTGGAGGTGCTGAAGAGAAATAATGAGGCTTCTCTGTGAGCACAAACACTGTGCTGTTAAACTGAAACTAAGAAAACATCAAATTTGTGTTAAGGCTACAAAGAAACAGAAATTCATGGAGGTAAAAATAAACGGAAAGAAAGTATCAATTTAATAAAAGCAATCACTTCAGTTTTCCTGTCTTTACTTTTTTATCCTAAATAAATCCTGATTGGTTAACAAACGTCAGTCTGAGGAACAGCAGATTTAAAACATCTAAATAAATTCTTACATAACTCTTCAGTCACACTGAGATATTCTTTGATAAAAATGAGTTTGGATCCGTCTACTTTATTGACGTTTAGTGTGACTGTCACTGGGCAGGATGTGATAAAGCTGCTGCTGCAGTCAGAAACCATTTACTCGCTTTGGCTCGTCGATGTGTAAATGGAGCCTGGGAGCTCGCTCACGTCTCGCTGTCAAAGCTAACACTGCTTAACTGCTTTGTGCACCGACAGCTGCTCGTGTGGCCGACAGAAACAAGTCAAGCAGGGAAAAGTTGATACTGAAGGTCTGATCTTCCCTCTCAGCAAACCTGGGAACATCTTTTATGTTTAAAATAATACCGAGCTTTATTACAGGTGGGTTTTAAGCTTTTAAGTTAAAGAAACAAGAAAAAGGGCTTCAAGTTCTCTTACAGAATATTCTCCTGCTGTGTGAAAGCCTGTTAAAACTCTTTAGCGCCTCCTGTGTGTGAATGAAGTTACCTGCAGCCTCTCTG